TGTAAATGACCCAGCTCTAGAATACATGTGCAAGTTGAAGACCTAACCTGAAATGGGAAACACAGTGTATGCCTTAAGTAAGGCTTCTTTTGCACTAAAAAATAACTTTTTTTGTCAATAGAGGTAAAAACAAACTCGTGGTAAAATAGTAAGATCAGTAATACCTCAGTTAATCTGGCACCTTTGGGGAGAAGACTAATTCAAGGGACATTTGGCCTCTTGTTGCAAGAGTGGGTCTTCGTGGCAGTATCCTAAAAGCCCACAAGATGGAGTTGTTTCCTATTGAAAGGCCTGCTTAATTTCTTTCAGAAGCCAGAAGTTGGTATCAAACCCCCATCCCCAGTTATGACCCACTTCTCAGTTATAAAAATGAGAAAACATGGAGCAAACAGGAATTTTATCCCTGTTGTGAATGTTTTTTTTTAGATCTCACATAACAAATTCTGACCGTTTACCTTTAGAAAACCACCAGTCCTGTCTCTCTAAAGGGGTGGGAGGTATACATTAGCCTCCTTTTGTTTTTAGCAGGGGACAGGGTGTAAAAAGGACCAAAGAGCTGCCCGATCAGAGTTTTATGGCCTTTTGCTGTAGTAATAATGTTAAATAGTAATTTAAGATTTTACCTTAAAAATTTTTTGAGTATACAGCTTTATTTAGTCTTTAGTGTCTTTGTGGTTTCCACTCACCCACCTGTCACCTCTAGCTTTTAAAGGTTTAAATATTTTACTGGTTAACTGAGGTTCTACTGTAAAGAAATCTTCTCGGTTAATTAGTGGATTATGCTTCGATTGTGTACTAATTATCTACTAATTAACCTTCTTTACTAAACTGTTTACATAATTACTTTTTTTAGCACATCTAAAAAGTTCACAAGTAAATTGTGAGATTCAGAATTTCCCATTTTGTGTCTTAAGAGTTTTGTTAATGAGAGGATTTTTAAATCAGAACGGGAGCTTCAGCATAGACACAGTGCTGATTGCTGTGATCACTGCTTACTACCTAGCCTTTTAACATGTCTAATGAATATTTAGAAGAGAAATCTGAAGCTAAGATTCTGTATTTTGCTGCTATCAATATTTAACTTGTAATTTAAGGAAAACTTAATGTTTAGTATTTTTACTTTGGGGACATGTTAATCTTTTTAACATGTAGAAAAACTTAATATGCTGCTGCTCACTATTTTGTAATTATGTAGGAGCAGCAGCGATAAGCAAAATTTTTTGAAATAGGATGCCCTTGATACATGGTTATATAGGAAGAGTGACATTTTAATATACTGCCCAGTAAATTGGTCCAGTTTGGGAAAGGTGTATTATTGATGTGGATAATATTTAAGGCAGAGTTTGATTTATTTTTAGCATTTTAATATTGCTTTTTGTCTTTACAGGAAAATGTTTATAGGAGGCCTTAGCTGGGACACTACGAAGAAAGATCTGAAGGACTACTTCTCCAAATTTGGTGAAGTTGTAGACTGCACTCTGAAGTTAGATCCTATCACAGGGCGATCAAGGGGTTTTGGCTTTGTGCTATTTAAAGAGTCGGAGAGTGTAGATAAGGTAGTGTTTTATGTGTTCTGATCAATTAGTGATATTTAAATTAAGTAATACAGTAAAACCTTTGAAAGCTGGAACCTGTGTAAGGCAGAAACCTATCAGAAGGAAAACTCAAATATTTCCCACTAAAACGAGTGATAGAAAAGTGGTAAGACTGCAAAAAATTGGGAGACCCGAAAAAGCAAGGCAGTCCCATCGAGTTCCAGCTCATGGGTTTCAGTCTATAAAATACTAAAATGTGGGTAGTTTGATAATGATGAATTTGTGCATTATTTATGGTACCCCTCCTGTACATCTAGGAAGGAGAAGACAGTTCTTGCCTCAATATATTTTTTAAGTCAGAGTCAAAAATTGTTTACTGAATACAGTTTGTGTGCCAGGCTGTACTAAATTAAAATTAACTTTAAAAAACCATTAAGATTTAAAAAGGCTTTAAATTAACCTTTTAAATTAAAGGGTGTGCTGTGACATTCACAGAAATAGAAATTTTGAAATTTGTTAGACAAGAAACTCTGACCTAATCATCATTTTGGTCCTTGCTAAAGGGAAGTAGCAACTATATTTGTTTACATAGCTGATGGTTATCTTGTAAGGAGCCTGGGTGGCACAGTGGTTAAATACTCAGCTGCTAACTGAAAGGTTGGCAGTTGGATCCTGTCAGCCACTCTGCTGGGAGAAAGATATGGCAGTCTGCTTCTGTAAAGATGGATAGACTCGGAAACTGTAAGGGACGGTTCTACTCTGTTGTTTAGGGTCACTATCAGTTGTAATCAACGCTAGGGCACCGGGTTTTGGTTATCTAGTATTATCTAATTATTAGTTAAGTTTGTACGTCCCTCCCCCCACATTCTTACTGACTTTTGATTTAGACACTAGTATGTATTAGCTAGTCCTTGGGTGCTGTAAACGGTTAAGTGCTACTAACCGAAAGGTTGGTGGTTCCAATTTCCCCAGGGGTGCTTCAGAAGAAAGACTTGGAGATCTTCAGAAGGATCACAGCCATTGAAAAACCCTGTGGAGTACAGTTCTGTCCTGAAACACATTGGGTTGCCATGAGCTGGAGTTGACTCTGGCAACTGGTTTGGTTTTTTGTTGCTATATATTAGCTGACGTCTTAGCACCAAATGACATGGCAGTTTAATTTTGAGCCAGTCAACATATGCTTGACATTAGCTATGTTTATTTAACTATAGTTGTTTTTAAATAAATTAATTTTCTGTGAACTTTAGTTAAGATAAACATACTTAAAATGAAAAACTTCAATTTCTTTAGGTCATGGATCAAAAAGAACATAAATTGAATGGGAAAGTGATTGATCCTAAAAGGGCCAAAGCCATGAAAACAAAAGAGCCTGTTAAAAAAATTTTTGTTGGTGGCCTTTCTCCAGATACACCTGAAGAGAAAATAAGGGAGTACTTTGGTGGTTTTGGTGAGGTATGTGATAATGTTTCAACCTAGTTTATATCAAAATTAGTGTGAATGTAATTGTCACATTAAGTGGGCTAAAATTCACTGGGCTTTTTCAAAACTGTTAAAAAGTTACAGCAGCTTATGTGATTCGTTTTTTAATAAGGTATTGTAAATATTAGCAGATCTTTGAAGGTTAGATGATTGCACTTTTCTCATTTATTGAGCACCAATTTATGCAAAGCATTGCTGGGCACAGGCTACATAAGACAACACAGATAGACATTTTTTCCTCCAGAAACCTACTACATTAGTAGAAGAAATAAAAAGAATATGAGAAAGTATCATAAAACAAATTCAGATTAACTAAGATAAAGAAGGAAACGGTTTTATTGAGACTAAGAAAGGAATGAAGAATACATTGTAATGCCCTCTGAGTTTCAACATGTGTTTACGTGCAAATTTTATTAAGACTAATTACAGGCTCAGTGAAATAGTGACATAGAGGTTTATTTTAGAAATGAATGATTTAAAGCTGAGAAAACCGGTTGCTTTGGGCCCCCCATATACAGCCTACACACATGTTCTGCTTGATTCAGACAATGCATGTTTTGTTACTAATATTTAGAAATTGAGATATTTTGTACAAAACTACTGGATAGCTAGCTTTTCTTAAATAATTGTAAGAACAAGCCATATTGGAACTGCCTTGGTTGGGCATATGGTCTCCAGTTTGCAGTGGTCCTTACTAACCATTTTCTACCAAATGCAGACACATTTTTTCTGTTTTTCTTAAAATTGGCTGTTTTTTCCCCACTTGTTTGTGAGCATTTGAGCTGGTGACCCTTGAGTTAAAAAGCAAATTTTAGTCTTTTGTGAAACTTTTTTTTTGTTTATTTTTCATGGTGGTAAATAGATAAGTAATAAACATTTACCGTTTCAACAGTCTTTACATGTACAATTCAGTGACAGTACTTGTTTTGTAGGTAAAGTGCATATTCTAATTTGAAGACTCACTTAAAGGAAAATACATGGCAGAATAGAACTTGAGGGCCAAATACATGTTTTCTTTTGCCTGTTTTGTTCCCATTAAACTTGTGCTCTTAATGTCCATAAAATGCAAACTAAGGTATTAAAACTTATTTTTTGATATCAGGTGGAATCCATAGAGCTCCCCATGGACAACAAGACCAATAAGAGGCGTGGATTCTGCTTTATTACTTTTAAGGAAGAGGAGCCAGTGAAGAAGATAATGGAAAAGAAATATCACAATGTTGGTCTTAGTAAAGTAAGTTAAAACATCCATGTAACTTTTAGAGAAAACTACCCACTGTAGAGTGTTTGGTCATTTAATTTTCTGTAAAGGCTTCAATTCAGAGTTCTTTGAGGTACTTGGAAGAGAGGGAGTGTGTACTATGGGTGCCTGTGCTTTAAAGAAACTTAAGAAAGTCATTGATCAGCTTGTTTGCTTTTATTGGGGAGTAGGAGAGAAGCATTTATTTTTAAGTGAATTTTTGTCTAGGTTTTCCCAAAAAACTTTTTTGAGGACCTGACAAGTATAACGCACATCTTTAGCAAATACTTCTTGGATATTATCAGAAGTGAATATTCTGAGTACTAATAACTAGATAACTGATTTTGAAGGAAAGTATCAAATTAGCCAGCTCTGTATTTTAAACATTATGGGCTATTCAGATTATTGTAAACTTGTTGGACAACTTTGATTTATTTTCTTGAGTCAGTAACATAATTTTTCTCTTTTAGTGTGAAATAAAAGTAGCCATGTCGAAGGAACAGTATCAGCAACAGCAACAGTGGGGATCTAGAGGAGGATTTGCAGGAAGAGCTCGTGGAAGAGGTGGTGGTAAGCTAGAGCCTAACTTTACTCTATGTTAAGCTTTTCTGCTTTTTAATTATCCTGAAGTAAAGATCTTTGCTGATCTTCTGACTTTAGTGAACCTATTAATGTGCTGCAGGCCCCAGTCAAAACTGGAACCAGGGATATAGTAACTATTGGAATCAAGGCTATGGCAACTATGG